ATAAATTTAATAAACTGATTCTCCTTTTTGTAGTATTAAGATTATGATAAATTATGATTTGTTATAAAACTTAATGAATCTATTATGATTTTTAATACTAAATTTATAATAAATTATGATTTAGTATAAAATTTAATAAACATTTTCTGATTTTAATAAATATTTTAAAAATACTAACTAGTAAATATTTTATTACTTGAAAAATATTTTATGTTTTATATTATAAAGTAATTAATTTATTCTTTTGTTAATTCTTTTTTATAAATATTTTATTTGAAATATTAAATAGAAATTATTAATGAAATAATTTATATTAATGTACTCTATTATATTAATATACTCTATTATATTAATATAATATACTAATATATTATATTATTAATGTACATTAGTCGACATCCTGTCGACATAATAGGAAAAATTGTTTTTTTTTTTTGGTTATTTGGACTGATTTGGTCGACATTTCTGAAATATAGGAAATGCCAACCGAAATAATGTAATTTTTATAGTACCATCCATTTTCATGTCTGTGAGCCTCGACATCGACATATGTCGGGTGGCATTAGTGAAATGTCGCGACATTTGACCATGGTTTGAGTTAATTGGGGAAGGGACTGATGTCTGATGGCCACATGCATATGGTTGTTTACATGAAACCCATGGATTAGTTGGTATCATATATGAGGGAGAAAACTTAAAAGTTTAGGCTGCATTTGGTTGCAGTGCAAATTTGAAATAGATACAAATTTTGTAGTTTTACCTGGTTCAGTTTTGTATTTGTTTATTTGTAACTATGTTTTGCACTCAATAGCAGTGTAAATTTTGCATCTTGAAAACAGATGCAAAATTTGCATCACCTTCTTCCTACCTTAATTCTCTGTCATATAAAGTGGGGACGAATGACCATCATCTTGCTTCCTATATCACTCCCAAACAAATAACCCTTTTACCTCCATTCTCTTTCATATAAGGTGGAATGACACCATTTTACTTTTCACAAAAAACAAGACAAGGTCAAATTTGAAGCAAAACAGAAATTACACTCAATCTATTTGCACTTCCATGCATTTACACCAGTGTGAATGAAATTTGCACTGTAACCAAATGCAACTTTATGACCCCTTCAAATCTCATAGTAGAACTTTTGTACCAAGAAGTCGAGCATTAATTATCTTACTAGTTAAGATATTTTCCTTTCTAGGAGCAATATGACTTGCATTATAATGTGTGATTTTTGAACCTTATCTCTGGATCTGCGTATCCTGTACATCTGGGGTATGTGATGTGGTTGTTAGGTTATGTCTATTTGATCTCCTATACCAAATATGTCTATGACACTATTGTTCAGATCCCTATATTTTGATGTGAGTACTTCCACCATTTGTATTTGACTGCCCAGAAGAATGTTCTTGACTGGATGGATTGGATCAGCAGTTAGTCGGAACCTGTTAAAATGGTTTCATCTTAGAAGAAAAACAGCCTTTTGAAAAGAAAGGACTGTTTAAAAAGTTGCAGAAAATCAAAAGAAAGTAGCAGAAATCAGGTTTCAAGAAGAGAGAAGAGCAAGAAGGTGGCGGCAACTAGGGTTCAGAGAGAGATTTTCGAACATAATCTCCTCTTACACCCCTAATTCCATTTCATCAAGTTAAACTTTAGTAATTTACCGAGAGGCCCCTGGTTGGGCAGAAAATTAAAAACATAACATAAGGAAGAATAAGAGCCCAGATTAAGGCCCATTACAGCAAAGAACATAACATATAAAAAAAAGATAAACAGCCTATGAGCCATTCGGCCCATCTTCTATACAATCTTTACTGCTTGTGCACCATGACACCGGTGGGTTTAAATGGAGGTTGGGCATACCTCTATAGAAACAATATTGTTCATTTTTAAAGATTTCTCAGTTTTGCAGATAGTTACATATTGTTTTAAAATATGATAGCATCAGTGTTTTAAAAACCTATGAGGCCTGGTTCTTTCTGAGGCTTGAGAAAAATAACTTGAGGCTCACACCTATAAGTTACATTCCTCACTAGACATACTTTAATGCATGTGTATGCATGTATTTATTGCATATGCTTGAATGTATCTATTATCTAACTGTTTTTAAGGTATTATTTTCTTAAAAGGAATGGTTGCTCATGAGGCATATGTCTCATGATTTTAATGGTCTTGACTCCTGGTACAGTGCCTCAATACTTCGATGCCTTTAAATGTTGGATAGATATCAATTCCTGAGTTTTGTTTGTTGATGCAGGATCATGCGATCTCCACTAAGTAACCTCTGTTCTTCTAAAAGCAAGACATCTGAACATTCTGAAAAAGAAAATGCCTTGTCTTCAGTCAGTACTGAACAAACAGATCTTCCATCTGGAAATGGGACAACAGATACTATTTTGACATCCATGCATGAAACAAACTCTTCTCTAGTTGATAAACCTTGTAAATCCACAAAACCTGGGGAGCGTGCATCACCAGAAATCCTTGAATCCTGGAAACAGAATGGCTTTTCCAGGTAATGATTGGCATGCTGATGCTGGACATTAATTAGCATAGAAAAAATTTGCTTTTAGCTGATAATTTTAAAATTCCCTTCTTTTTCAGCTTAATAATTGCCGCTCCAGAGCTAGATACATGGAAAGCAGTTCAAGAACTTCTGCCACTTTTATCATATTCAGCACCATTTGCTATTTATCATCAATATCTTCAGGTGTTTTTCTTAAAATTTCCAAGGATTATTTCCATTATATCCCTCATTAGTGAGTGGTTATTAAAGATATACAGACCATTTTTATCCTCGAGTACCCTTAATGGCACAGCACATAGAGGCTGTTATGATTCATGTCCAATCCATCACATCGTTTTTTTATTCGGAATTGTAACTTATTAAAGAAATATCAAGGTCCAACTGTCAACCTCTAGTGTTGGGTGTTGAACCCAAGATGTAATTTAATTACAACACTGCCCAGCACAAGTTCTCCTTCAGTCCCCTGTTTCACTAAGGCATCAGCTAATCCAATCCATCACATTTTTACTAATCCTTGATCCTGAATTTTGATGGATAGGGTACATGCCTACTTATTTGTTTATGCATTACACATAAACTACACTCAAATAAGCCTTGTCCCAACTATATGGGGTTGCTTGCATGGAACATAAACTATTAATTAATTTTATTACAAAGTGCTGCAGTTAGAAGCTAAAATCCGAATGCATACAGTGCCAAAAGTCCATTGGCAACATGGTAGTAACTTGATAATCCCTGTATATTATCTTTATCATGACACGAGTCTATGAGTGCCATTTACCAGTCTTGGGTCTGGAAATTAAAATACTGAGTGTTTGAAGATTTATTGTCAGGAATGCAATAGTGGTTTCTTGCATTTATTCCATATCAACCCTAAGACTTGCCAAAATGGCTGAGAAGGCAACATATACCTGTTTAGACGACACAACTTGTGGGTCTGACTGTCCTGACCTCCTGGACGTTTGCCCCATGTTTATGTTGGTAGCCATGTTTATTCTAAATAGTCTACCCAGACATGACCATAGCTGTTCCATCCTACTATATGTAGGTACTTGGTTTATGAACCTGCAGACCTGAAGAAGTTATAGTATTGACCAATAACCAGTTATCTTTTAAAATGCAGCCCCTCGCCACATGCATGCACAAACTCCAAGTCACCAAAATGGCAATCGGCTTACAAATTTCCGAACCTTGGCTACGTGAATATCAGGTCTTTATTCAAACTTGCTACTGCATATTAACAGATTTAGCAGTTTCCTGCTTAGATGCTTTGGTAAATATTGTATCCCATCCATTTCTGACCCCTCAAAATGTAGAGAGATAGTTGTATGCCAAGGAAAGGTGACAACTAGTTTGGAGCCTTGTTGTCAAGGCCCACTATCATATTAATCTGTGTATGGAGCAGGTCTTAGGGGAAACAAAATCTCCTTAACAGGTTAAGATATTTGTCCAATCTCCAATGGGCCAAGGGATAATGAGAAACTTGAAAGAGGCTATAACCTTGGTGTGCCTAGGTTAGACATCTTGTTCTTCTGAACCTAATGGGGTTGGATAGGGTTTCTTCCATCTTTACTGATGCTTTTGTTATTTTCTGATACCAAGGAGATATTTGTCTTGTTAAATGATCCTTTTCCCTATTTCTTCTTATTTTCGGCCTCACCTAATAATATTTCCTTATTATTATTATTATTATTATTATTATTATTTTGGAGTAGCGTTGAGGGGTTGGAGGAAGAGGACTGTTCTGAGTATGTCACAGGTATCATCAAAATTGGTGAAACAATTTATTTCATTTCTTGTTATGTCAAAAACAGGTCAGATTCAGATCCCATCCCTGATCAGCTGACAGTCAGATATTATGTCCCTCCTGAAAATATCATTATGCATCTTGAAGTGATCAATTAATATTTGCATTCTGTCTTCTTGATCATTATGCAGGTTCTTCCATCCAGAACTCATCCATGCATGCAGATGAGTGCTTTTGGTGGATACATTTTAAGTGGAATGAGGATATATAGTGGTTAAATTGGCTGAAAGACCAAGTAATATTTAGACCTTCGGCTGTTTTCCTTTTAATTGGGAGTATTGAGGATCCGTAGGGAATGTAGGGGGTAGTATTGAATCAATAGCTAATTTGAAAATGCTTCTTGAGTCCATGTCTTGTAGCATATCCAGTTGGGGTGTTGATTTGGGCAATAGTTAAGGACATATTCTCTTGTAATACTTTTCATTTATACTAATAAAACAGAATACTTTTCATCTTGACTCTGGGTGTGCCGGTTTTTATCAGGAAGATTAGAGCAGGGTGTGCTCAAATTACCAACCTTTTCGCTTACGGGTAAAAGTATTTGTTCTCTAGAAGTTGCTTAAATCACCACCTTATCCCAAGTACATGGGGTTGGTTATATGAATCCTGTTTTGTCATTCTCTTCTCTTTAATCCCAAGTACATGGGGTTATTAGCGCTTAAATTATTTTTCACCAGTTTGACCAATGTGTTTTTGGTCTACCCTTTTATCCCTTCTAGCCCCTTCAACTTGTGATAGATTAGTTCTTATGAGTGCTGTCAAAGTCTTTTATGCACATGATCAATCATTTTAATATGCTTATTCTCATTTTATCACCTATTGGGGTTATTCTTAGATTCTTTTGAATTGTTTTATTTCTTATCCTATCCTTTGTAGTTTTTCCATGCATCTATTTCATCCTATACATTTCTTAGAAAGAGGAGATTTAGAGCCAATCACTCTTCATTTTCCTACATGCTTAAGACCTGCCCAAGCTAAACAAATATCCTATTAGGTTCAATCTTGAATCAAGTGGTGCTCGGTTCATGGTTACAAAAGAGGTGGTATGGTTTCATAACCATACCAATCTTTTTGCTTTTTGAAATGACAATTTTCTTGTGAAACCGCACAATGCAAAAAATGCTATTCTGTTTATAGTTCATTTTTTTGAACAATGTGAGCATTGATTGTATATTTGTATGATTCATGTGATGTTTTGACACATCCTATATCTGTCATGCCATGCTTACATCTCCAAACTATATTTCGTGGTTGAAAATATTATTATATAAAGTTATTTTCAAAAAATGCCACTTTCTAATGACATACCGAATGATGGTTGTGTTTATGAACCGGATGAACGAAAACACAACCATAAACCAATTACTCCAACCAAGCAGCATATCTATATTTAGCGATTTCTTTGGGAACCCAAACGTTGGTTGTCAAATCTCAACACGCCAACGGAATATATTACACTAAAAATTGCTCCATCTTGAACGAATATATTACACTAACAAATTGCTCCATCTTGAACTCTTAATTACCAATAATACCCCTCCAAAATGCAACCAAAACTTTTTTTTTTTTTCTTTTTCCTTGTCGAGAGTTTAATCCATGACCCCACCTTTGAGCTTGTGGAGTATGGTTGGACTTGTGAGAGCCCACCTCTATGCCACGTGTAGCTCACTTAGGAGTAAACAAGGACTTTGGTGGGTCATACTCCGTTAACCGTCTGATCAATTTGACATCTATCCGGTGCATATTTGTCGTATCATTGCTTCCTAGCCCACATTTATCTTTGGAGATGTTAACTAACAAAATAATGAAATATTATTATTATTTATAATAATAATAATAATAATAATAATAATATTTAGAAGTAATATAGTTTAATATAATAATAAAATCAAAATCATAATATAGTTTAAAACTTTATTTCCATAGATTATAATGTTTATGATTATTTTCATAAAATATGCTATTGACCTTTCTTTCGAACTACATTGGACCTTTTCTAGGCCTGTTAACGGGTTGCGTTTGGGCTGGAATCAGCTAGAATCGGAACCGATCTTAGAAGAAATGTCAAGGACCTAGAGTTGAACTGGACCCGATAGGGTCTATAATTTTTGGAGCCAAAACTGTACCGACTGGTTCTCGGGACAATCAGGTCTGAGTCAACAGACTTGATTATAATAAATAAAAATAAATATTTATTTAAATATTAAATATTATATTTATGTATGTATGTATGTATGTATGTATATAGTTTGGGTCGGGTCTCAATCAGCTCAGGACTGGGTTGAATCGGTTCCGAACCGATAGTTATCGGGACATTATATCAAGACCCAAAACTGATCGATTGGTTCCAATTATTGGAACCAAAACCAGCCCAATCGGTTTGGGTCTGTTGGGTCAGACCCATTGACATCCCTGACCTTTTCTTTTGATTCTCTTAAATGGGTATAAGATTTTATTGTTTCAACCATTGTTTTCATCTCACCGTTGACCCGGTTTGCTGAACTGTTTGAACCGTCACCCAAGCAAGATTATGGCTATGGTTTTATTAAAAACTATTTGAAATGTTGACTTTGTCAAAAACCATTTGACCCAAGTGGTTCAACTGTCAACCCGTTTGACTTGGTCACTAGGTCAATCAATGCATACAAACTTTTGGAGGCCATAACTTTGCACTCTGATGTCTAATAGTGGTGATTTTTTTTTTGGTAACTTTTTCGAGATCTATGCGTCCCAAGGCACCATAGGCCCCTTGTCCTACTTTTTTTTGTGAAAAAATCCTTTTTTGGCCTTAAATCGTAAATTTTATTTTTTTTATAAATAAAAATTTAAAGCTGAATTGAAAACCAAAAATTAAATATAAAATAATACATATATCTATTAAAACATAATTATAAACACACACACACACACACACACACAAATATATAGATGTTGATGTGGTATGGTCAGACCCATTTGACTCGAACAGTCGAACCAGTGACCCACGACCCAAAGGCAATAGAACTTTCTTTTTTTAGTTTTTTCTAAGAGTAGTGGAGCAAGTCCCAATCACCTGCTAATAAAATATAGGGGTAATAATATATAAGGGCAACTTTTGGGGTTTAATATCAATAAAAGTAATATATTTAAAAATTTTCAAAAATAGGTTAATTTTTTAAAAATAATATCAATAAAGGGCAAAAACATTGTTCATCTTCTTCTTCTTGCCATTTGTTCACCAGAGCCGTCGCCTGCCACCGCCCACTGCCGTCCGTTGGTGGCGGCGGCACTGGCGGTTTCTCTGTCCAACGCCGCACCTCCGCCCACCTCCACCTCCGCCTCCGCCTCCGGCAACGTTGCCAGAGATGGGTGGAGATTGAGGTGGCGGCGGCGGGGGGTAGAGGAATGACCACTAGCGCCGCTGCCGCCACCTCTAGCAACGTTGCCAGAGGTGGAAGTGGAGGTGGGTAGCAGTGGATGACAGTGGCAGGCGGCGGCAGATGACAGCTCTGGTGAACAAATGGCAAGAAGAAGAAGATGAACAGTGTTTTTGCCCTTTATTGATATTACTTTTAAAAAGTTAACTTATTTTTGAAATTTTTTTAAATATATTACTTTTATTGATATTAAACCCCAAAAGTTGCCCTTAAATGCTAGAAAATATATTCCAACACCCTCCAAACATGATTTGACACCACACATCTGGGTCCCATTCTCATAGTGAAATGTACGATGTCAGATAACGTTGGGAGGGTGTTAGAACATGTTTTATTGGCAGGTGATCCCAATTCCAACAAGATAGAGATCTGCTATCAAAATTGTTTCTACAGGCCATTGCAGCCATATATTCTGTATATTGGAAACATCTCATTTTCATGGGAAGATGTTCCTGATGTGCGACTGTCATTCAATTAGCAACTCTCATAATTACTCAACCAACCAAAAAAAACGGATGCAGATTTCTCAATTCCACTGGGCTGAACCGTCATTCTCCCAAAAAAAATCTTTGCAGAAGTCACCCTAAATTTTGTTAACTGTGAATTTTAAAACCAACTAATGGCAATACAATCAAATCTTCTTGTGTTATCATAGGGGGAGTAGCTTGGTTTTGGCCTTTTGGGACGACGGTTTCCATAACTCTTCACCTGTTGTATGTTCAGAGGATCAGAACTTGGGTCATATTTGATGCGGGTCGGCTCAGGTTGGGATGAACCCTATCTCAGCAACTTCATATCTTAAAACCTAAAAACCTCAATCTTAATCCATACCCCCCCCCCCCCAAAAAAAAAATAAAGAAAAAAAGGAAAAAAATAATAATAAGTTCAACCTGATCTTCAATCTAAGGTTTTTGACTCCAATCCAATCATGTAGTTGAGTTGGTGGGTTTTGAGACCTTATTGCCAAATTTATATATATATGCATGTACCATATTCATACAAGCACACATCTTGTATGTGCAAATGATAAATAGATATCATATTTATGGTAATATTTCACAAAAAAAGAAGCATAACATCTTCCCATCTCCTCCCCTCTTTCATTAGTTGGATTTAGGTTGGTCCACCTTAGAGTGCCTACACAAAAAATCTACATGATTAGATGATCTTTAGCTTTATGCATAGTCCTATTAGTCCTAGACATTTTTTTTTTCACCCATCCACACTTAAAAAAGAAGACATCATGCTTCAATTTCAAGCAGATGTTTGGCCCAGCTAATGTCCAAAATAGGACCAATTTTACAGTGGGCTTCAATCCTCATAGACAGTAAGTGATGGGGCCTACCTAAACTCTTTAGACTTATCAAAGTGATCCCTGTGTACAAGGCGAATGCATGTGGTGTTGTTTCATTGCTTACAAGAGTCAGACACGTTAAAGTGAAACACTGATTCAAGTTCCCTACTTCCCTAGCATCCAAATTTGTGCTACAACCATCATCATTTACAATTAGGCTAGCTGTCCATATAAATACCAAAAAAAAAAAAAAAAAAAAGGCTGTCCATATATTCGACTGTGAACGCCTACCAGATGATGACCTTAATTTGACTTGAATTTCTCTCCAAAACGGAAACCTTCCTCCTAGTTTCTTTTCTTCTTGACCTTCAACCCTACGCTCAATCCATTCATATATGGTCCATCTAGACAGCTAGCGCCGGGTCCCTCACTCCCAGCCCCAGGCCCATTAGAAGTTTTTTCTTCTGTCTTCGTTGTGACTTGTGACAGGAGATGAGTGCCACCTTCACTCAACTACACAAGCACCAGCCTAGCTATATGTCCATTCCTTTTATCGGGTTATTAGTTATTTCTTATTTGAGGCCTGTGCTATGTGGATTAATGTGGAGGAACCCGGCTCAATCCCTTCACTCAAAATTTGATCTCTGGACTGCAGGAATATGAATATACGCATTGATCGAATCGATCACATTGATCATATATCAATTAATCTGTAAACAAGCTAGCCCCAAAAATTCTGTGGCCTGCTAGCTGAATGCTGAATGTTTAATGGCATCCATCACCCAACTTGAAACTTTAAAAGACTAATAAGAGAAGAAGAAACAGCTGCATATCTTCACAGTACAGTTCAAAAGTTACGTTGCAGCCCTGTACATCTTAAAACTTGAAGCCATGCATACACTTGACTTTATACAGAAACAAAGGGTCTCTTATATCATGTAGCTGCAGCAGATACCAGGATTATTTTTGAAGAAAACCAGAAAGAACAAGGGATGAATCAGAGACCATCATCTGATTTGATGAGGTGGTCTGATCATTGTTGTAAGAAAGCATGCACTGAATGTACATTTGCATCATGAGTATATGCTTTGCGTCACTCACCCACTTTCAGAAAATATGAACACACACAGCAACCTGACCAAGGTAGCATATATATATATATATATAAGAGAGCAGAACTTATATATGGAGAGAAAAACTTTACATAAAAAACTTCCAATCTCATGACGCTTGCCTTGCTTCATGCTTACTAGTTAGGGTGATTACGTACTTGGAGCTTCAAAAGCTCTAAAGATTTCCTCGGATCTACAACTAAATCACTTTATATATCTATCCACTAGGAAAACCGCCATCTCTCTCTCTCTCTCTCTCCCTGTGTGTGTTTCTGTCTGTCTGTCTGTCTATTGTGACGTCAACAATGCTCAACAGCAAAGATGGCATAATGAAAATATGTCAGACCAAAATACATGCCTAATTCCCCAAATCTTCACGACAGTGACCATTTCAATTGTAAAGCTGTTGATGATACAGAGCTGTGGTTATTGCTACCCAACCAACAGCATCTACTTATATAAAACAGTCTAGCTTCCATGTCAAAATTATCTCTCTCCATTATTTATCTGCCTACAGACTTGGATCCTTAAATCGATATATAGCTCAGTACTTGAATGAGCATTTAACCCATTTAAATCGATTTATAGGCAAGCCATGATCCTCAACTTCAATTCAACATCACAAGACATTTTCAGAAGATCAGAATGGAAAGAAGCTATGTATATATTTAAGTTATAGGCACTTACTGTATAAACAAAACGTTTCCTTTTATTAAAAATTGTGGGTCTACCAGTCAAAATTTAATTGCTTTGGATAAACTGAGGAAATTAAAGCTGAGAGAGAAGATGCAATTGTGGGTATAGTTGTAGGTTTGCATCAAAAACAAAACATAACACTTTCTAGTTTTCTCTTACATTCACAAACCAATTCTTTCTCTACCCCAAGAACCTTTTTTCTTTTGGTCTTGGTGCATGCAGTTCTCTTTTACTAATAATAAGACATTTTTAATTGATTGTGTTTCTAGTAATGTAGTGGTGGAAATAACAACCCATCTAGCAATGTAGTGGCGTCTTCAACATGGCCCACCCATTTTGTGAATCTCTGATCATTCATCTTGTGTAAAAAAAAAAAAATATCAGATGAAACCACGCCTCAGGATGACTTATTGATTAAACAATCATAACCACTGGATACGAGGAAACCTTCACTGTTTTTGGTTTGCTGACGAGTCAACGCTCGACAATCAAAAGTGGGGCAAGGACTGGGTCAAAGAAAATGGGCCCAGGGGAGGCCCAGCCCATTGATGGATCGAGGATGGGACAAGCAAATAATAAGCGTTGTTTCCTATGTCGGTTCAAACTTCAAAATACATACTCAGTAACGGCCGGATATACCCTCCCACCTCCATCTCTCTCTACTATTTTCCCAAGGAGAAGGAAGGACTGAAGGAGAGAGAGAGAAGGAGAAGCCAGAAGGAGAGAGAGTATCTTCTCTTTCTTTATTTCACCTCATCTCATTTATAAATAATTTTCCTGGTGTACTACTGGATCTGGAAAAGCCCTAACTTGCGCATAGACGCGTAAGGCGCATCGCATCACATGTCACGGCAGTCCTTCGCTTCCAACGGGTCCCACTTTTACTGCGCCTATACGTCCAACACGTCAACCGAATTTCTCCTCTGGGTCTGGGAGAGAGTATCCATGTCGCGCGCTTTTGATTCGGTAGCTTGCGAGATATCACTACTTTAATATCGTGGATGAACAATGATCTACCGTCCGATCGTTTTTAGACGATACTCGACTTAAGATGTAATGTTTTGACTTTTGACTAATTTGAAAGCAGAGCCGTCCTCGTTCAATACTTGATCTGACGGGCATGCGAGTTTCACAGAGGGTATGATTACACGCATTGAAAGCTAGTGCTGAATTCGAATGCACCAAAACACGAATCTCACGAGATATCAAAGAATCAGAGAAGAGCACGACAGGATTGGAGAAATAATTTCTTGCGATTGTGACACGTTTCGATACATCCAAGCATTGATAGAAGTAGTGATCTTTCCACTCCACACTGAATCGAAGATTTTAATTTGGGTTAGGTACAAATACAGTCAAGTCAAACCATTAGACTAGAGCCTCACCATGTTAATTGGCTACAACAACAGTTAAAACAAAGTCGTGTTGGCCGGAAAATTCATGGTCATGGAGAATCCGGCGATGTGGTCGTGCAGGAGTTGAGACTAAGTTCAAGGGATGTTGGGGTGTCGTTTTTCTCGTCGCTGGGTCCATACCAGTCTGTGAAGTATCCTCCTGAGTCTGCCTTTCCGGTGCAGAATCCGCCGATGTTTTCTCCGTGCGTGGGGAAGAGTGGAAGCGTTTCGATCTGCGGAGTTTGATCTTCAAGGTATTCGATGGATTTCCTCTTGTCAAAGAGAGCGTAGGGTGATGAATATGGATCAATGCCGACCCACCCAAGATTGTTGCACATACCCCCACCGCCAATACCACTACCACCAGCAGATATAGAACAGTCCTGTTCAATATGAAAAAGCAAAAGATTAATGGTTGCTTTTAGTACACTATAGAGAGAGAGAGAGAGAGAGAGAGAGAGAGAGATATGACCCTATATCTTATAAAATTTACCATTCTATAATCAGTCTGAACTTGTTTGCACATATATAGGGCCATGGGGCTATTGTCTGAGTGTGCTCTCTTCTCTGTAAGAAAGGAAGAGATCTCATCTCATAAAACTTTCATTTCTATAATCAGTTCATCTTGCCTGAGATGTCCTACTTAATAGGTTTAAAACTTCAAATGTGGTTAGCTTCATTAGGGCAAGAAAACAAAAGGACTCTCCCTCTCTCTCTCTCTCTCTAGATCTCCTGGTACACCTTTCTGCTTCCAGAAGTCTAGAGCGACGGACATGTCCAGAATGTCTCTCCTTTTTATTGCTAGAATTAATAGATTTCAATGGATGTTATTATATTTATTACACAGAGAATTGTAACACTGTTGGACACATGGGTGTAACTCTCATGTGGGTTTCTTACCTTTCCCATAAGCCATAAGATGGACAGACAGATAGTCAGAAATGGAGTATAACTTCGAAGGCACCAAGACCTTTCTTTACAAACTTACCCTGAAACTCTTCTCCATGAGTACGGGTCCATATCCAGTGCCTCCCATCTGACCAGCAGCAAGTACACCAGGAGAAGAAGGAGATGAAACCCCTGAAAATCACGAACACCCAACAAAAGAAAAAGACCAAAACATAAGTAACAGGCAATTATAGATCAATTATACCACATAAACCTCAAAAACAAAGAGACCAAATTAATCATCACTAAAGCGAAAGAAAAAAATATATATATAAGCTGAGGTATTGTTTGTTGTTACTCCACCAGGACTGATGTTGGTGTACTTGTTGTGAATGGGATCTCCAGTCTTCCAACCACCAGTTGCAACACTTCTCTGCATGGCCATGTCAACTGTAAATCTCTTCTTTTGTCTTTCACGAGCTTTATGGTTCTGAAACCAATAGAAGACGTTCTTCCCTTCAATCTTGCCGTACTGTCTCAACCTAGCTGAGATCCTCTGAATCTGCTCCGCACTTGGAGACCTAATTCCATTGTTGTAGTAAAGGTCTTTCAATATTCTTATCTGATCAGTGGTGGGTGTCCACCTTGTACTACTCTGCCTGCAAAGAAAACTGCTTTTGCTAGTATTGCTACTGCTGCTATCTTCGTTTGGTTGTTGCTGTTGCTGCATTTGTTGTGCTGGCTGTTGTTGAGGTTCCATGGAAGAACAAAATCAGGAAGAAGAAAACAAGAAAGAGAGAGAGAGAGAGAGAGAGAGGTGTGCATGAAATGGAGGGAGGGGAGGAGGGTGTTATAAGAGTGGGAGAGAGGGGCACATGGAGAGAGGTGAAGAAGGAGATCAGAGAGATATCTGGGAGAGGACTGAAGTTGACAGAGAAAGCTTCATAAAAAGGAAGGGGACAAAAGAAGAGGTAGAAAGCGAGGTCTTCAGAGGAATTGCTTGAGTGAAAAGGCATGGAGACATGATTAAGGGCAGAGAGAGAGAGAGAGAGAGAGAGAGAGAGAGATGTTGATATGCATAATAAGGCATGATAAGATATGCATAACAAAGAATGAATGAATGAATGGTAGGCTGTGAACTGGGATTTAGATTTTGGGTCTCGTTATTACATCTCTTTTCATGAGGGGCGGTTCTCTCCTTGTAGGACCCATATTACAGTCTATAGGATAGTCTTATCCTTACCCAAATATATCATGTGCAACTACTGCAACTGCATGGGATTTGTTAACATGCATTTTGACCCGACCCACTAGAAATTTATTAGGCCCGAGCACCGACCCGATATGTATTGCACTGGGTATCCTGTACCCACCCACAAGCAAACGCTGTGTTGTTGAGAGCAGATGCGGTGAGGAGTTCTGATCAAATATCAAATCTGAACACGGTTTAAATCCGGCCTACAGGCCTAGGTCCAATAATCCATTTACGGTATGACCCGACCCATTACAGAGACTCGTAGTCTTTGTAGTTGCAGCCTTGCAGTTGTAGGTAGCGTACCAAAACCATTGGTATGGTATGGTATGGGTTTTTTTAGTCATTTATGCAGCATCACGGGTTCCGAGGAAAATCTGGGCATTCAATTTGGAAGTTTGGTTCGTGGTTTCTTGAGCCAGATGTATAGATGATCAAACCTCGAAAGCTCGTTGTTTTTTTGCCCCTTTCCCCACTACTGCCGCTTTCTACTTTCCAATGCAGCAAGGCTCTCGATCGGCTGAGCGCAGCATGAACCCATAACTAGAGTCATGAGCTACATTATTCAAGTTAGGGTTAGGGCTTAGATGTTTAGGGTTAGGGTTTAGGAGCATGGAATGTTCATATTTTGGATGTCTTTTCTTTTCTTTATATGAATTTATCATGCTTGAGTTGACAACCACCATCTGGAAAGACTACTCGCACCCTTCCATTTCTATACATTATTTTCCAATAATAATAATTATAATAATAATAATTTTCCATTTATAGTTCCCCCTTTCAGTCAAATCTTTAAAATCAAAGTGGCTTGGGTCAATATGATTTTCAAAGGATTCGTTTTGGCAATTTCCTCAATGAAGTAGTCATGAAGTTGAGGTGAGAGATGTCTTTGGCAAGTTTGAGGGGATCTCTTTTGGCCTCTTCTCTTTAGTAGCCATCACATTACATGGATTTTTTTTTTTGAGTGGGTGAATAGATTAATTTAATTTAATCTTATAGAGAGAGAGAGAGCATTTCTGAACAATTCTTATATATCATGCCGATGGCTTCTCGATAAGTCCCTCCAGGATTGTATCCGATCAGACACTGGTTTAAAGAATAACCGGGCCTTAAACTAACCCCTTTGAACTGGGTTTAAAAATAAATAAATAAAACCTAAAAAAATACCAATATGAGCTGATACACCCTATCGACATATTGGCCTGTATCGATACTTTGAACTTTGCAACTAATGTATGGATTTGTTTTGAGAAAAAGCACATCGAGAAATGAGGAAAACTCAAAAGAAAAAAAAAAAAAAAAGAAAACTGAAAGGCTCATGCATCCATTTCAATTCAGATTTTTCACAAAACACCAAGGAGCCTATTATTGCTTAAGATATTTGGCTTCTATTCTATGTATATTGTCATGGTAAGTTGATTGCGTGGGACCAGGATTAGGTGGTTTATTATCCTCAATACTTATTATGTGAAATAAATTTTTGGAGGTTGTTGAGAAGTGTGAATGTAAAACTCTCTATATATATGGAGCTATTCAGCCATGTGCATAGCACGTGCGTTACCTACCTCTTAGTGTAAGGAAAACTGGTAGCTTTATGATTGTGCCCATGTAAATGGTTTGTCTGGTATTTGTTATAGCCAAAATGTAAGCAAGCATGTAAGTGTAACACCTGTATCTGCATAGATTTCACCAAGTTTCAATGCTTCCGCACTCGATATATTAAACAGGAGAAAGCCCCCAAGAGAGAAGAGAGAGCCAATGCAAATCACAGACGCAACGCAAATGTATGATATGACACGTTGAGGGCAATTTGGTCCTTCAATATCTTTCACTAGACTGCCTCCTGCTAACAGGCCTGCTATATATATATATATATATATATATATATATATATTGATCATAATTCAATAATGTACTGCACTGCCATTAGCTAGTTTTCTTCTCCCCCTCTGCCCTCCCCTACAAAATTAAGAAATTGGGTTATTTACTAAAATCTCCCCTTAACATGACTCACAATGTCTAAAACTCCCACTAATTTTCAGTTGCCTCTAAACTCCCTCCTAGATAAACTGGTTTGTTAAATACTGAATGAAAAGTGAAAACAATCCATTATCCCTTAGCTGCTACTATTCTTTTTTTTTTCTTTTATTACTTTTGAAGGACTATACAACGGGGTAACCTATAACCCCCAATTCAGGTGTAGGTAGGATTCGATCCCAAGCCTCCAATATGACCAGCAGGAGACCTTATCAATCGCTGATTGGCATCTCGTCTTAGTTGCTACTACCGCTATATATCCAAAGCTTATCACAAAGATAATAATAGAGGAAATTGTTACCTGAATAGTCATCTATAGGTGGAAAATGTGATCCATTATTGTATTCTTAAAATCTCTTTTTTATGTTTTAAATATGACCCATTTAGGGGGTGTTCTATACGATGATTTTTTTTTTTTTTGTTTTTTATAAGATAGTAATTATATGATTTATGGAACATGATCTTAAATAACCAGATGAAAATATGTTTTTAAAACTAAAAATTTAATAAGGTATTTTCTATTTCAGTTTTGAAAACAAAAAAACACATATACAATCAAAAACATGTTTTTTTTTTTTTCTGTGTGTGTGTTGGCCGGAAACAATCTGTTTCCAAAGATGGTTTCAATTTGTTTTGAAACTGGCAATTAGAAAAAGAAATTACGTTGTATAGAATGCCCCCTTATTTACTCATTTTTCTAATTATTTTGGAGTGTAAATTGCCAAAATAACCAGGAGAGATTGGTATGACAGTAAGTAAATGTTGGGTCCTAATCTATGGATGTTTGAACGTTGGGTCCTAATTTATTTATATCTATTAAACAAGGGTGTATTTTTGTCACGTAAGCTCCATTTGGAAGGAGTACAAATACTAGAACACAAAGTTAATTATCAAAAAAAAAAAATTATTAGAACACAAAGCCTTGTATTTTGCGTTATTTTATATGTATTTGTATTATGCATATTTGTACGTATTTATACTCCTTCCAAACTGAGCCGTAAGAAAGAGAATCTGTCAAGATGTTATAAAGCAGATCAGGAATCAGGAGAATTACCCCACCAAATACAATCCTAATCAAATGAAGGGTGTATTTTTGTTTCATCTTTCTGTTAGTGCCAGGAAAAAAAGTTAGGAATCGGGACTATTTTGTCATTTTGGAACACTCAAATGAACCGAGAAGAGATGTTAGGACTTAGGGAGGTCTGGGACTAGCAAGCCATTCTTATAAATAAGGGGGGGGGGGGAGTATTAAAAGGAAACTAATAAGCGCAGGGAGAGTTTTAGATAATGTCATCAAATTCAGGGGAGTTGTAGAAAATAACCCTAATTTGTAATTTCTTCTTGTCTTATTAAGCACCAAGTATATCCATTAAAAAAACAAACAATCTCCAAAAGTCCACTCAATCTCTTCTTAAATTCACTCTGCAACACTCACATTCCCCTTTCTTTCTGTAATTCTTGACTGCAGCGCACATCTCTCTCTCTCTCTCTGGGTATCTCAGTTTCAAGTGCAACTTTTCAGATTGAGCTATTTACTTGATATTGACTACATCATCATGAGATTTTCCTTTCCCTATCATGCAATTGCACTCGCATTCTCTCTCTCTCCCTCTCTCTCTCTCACATGTAAGTGAATGTTTGTTTTGTTCCTCTCTCTCGTTGCCTTGAATTTGGACTTTGAATCTCCAGTGAAGCTATTCCTGTCCTTTTAGCTCTTATCCAACCCTGAGCTGCTTACCTCATAAGGGGAGCCCTAGAGAGCAGCCGCAGCGGTAAACCTCCTTTTCTTTCGGGTAATCATCTTGTGATGTTTTTCTCGATATCTCAAAAGATACCATCAACATATCTTTGAAGATCTCTTCTCTCTCTCTCTAGGCTACTAGTCTCCCTCCTTTTTCTCTTGCTGTCTTCGTAATAGCTCTTATAGAGAGGAGAGGACGATCCTCTGCTTGTTTCACCTCCATTTAGAACAAACCCCAACTACAAGATTTGCTTCTTTCTGTTTAAATAGAAATTTGATCAGGGGTTGCTTTCACGTAGAGCTAATATGCAAAAGCCCTAATCCTAGGCGGTTAGGGTGGACCCCTGGTTTGACACGGTGGAGTTGCTCTCAGAGAGTTAGAGTCGAGAGGATGGATGGGCCACATGAACACCAATACATCGACCCGACGTTTACACCTCCTCATTCTTTGCTGTTGTCCTAATTGAATGCTCTACCTTGAAGTTGACTACTGCACTATTTCTTGAGGACCACGTTCATCTCTCTCTCTGCTTTAAAGTTTAAACAACAGAAGCCAAACAATGGTAGTACACGGTGTACTAATTAACCTGACTGATACCGAGTCAAATACGTCGACTAACTACTGCTTGGTTTAAGTTCTGATGTTGATCCATTCAGCATTCTACTGGGTACCAATATTGTGTTTTCTTGCTAGAGTACTACTGCTTGGTTTACTAACAGCTATGTAACCATATTAATTAGCATGTAGTTGCTGGTACCCATTGGGCACAGAAGTTCCTACCAAGCTTAATGAAACACTGAAAATTTGGTTGGCTTCAGCGGTTCTTTTTTCAAAGATTATTATGATCTACAAGTTTCCATACAGAGAAACATTCATCAGTCCTAGTACTACTATAAATGTGCTAGTATCCACTATCCAGTATCAGACAACTGGTAGTTGGTAGATAAAGATAATCATTTCAAACAGCCTAAGTATTAGATGGTATGGAAGCTAGAGAAAAAAACAAAAAATTTTAATTAATTAATAGAAGTATTATACTTCTCCAAAAATATTCTCAATCTTCCCGGGGGAAAGAAAAGAAAAGAAAAAAATAAAAAACCTTAGCTGCTATCTGCAGATTGATCTAGTACTCTGGATAATAATAAAAGTAAGCATGGATGTATTGTGTGCTCTCTAACTCTATTTATTATTATTATTATTATTATTATTATTATTCCTTCCAAATAAATCACTTTAATGCATAGTGGTGTCAATAAATCAGTTTTGGATTGGACTAGTCTATGTCATAATCAATTTGGACAGATTGGATGGACCAATAAGACATTGAATTGAACCAGTACAGATTTAATGGTTAAGTATTGGACCTGGTCCATCTGTAATAAATTTATATTGGATTGATTGGATTGAACCAATATCCAATCCATTGATAGAAGATAAAAATACAGGTGTCAATGGAACCAGGTTTGGGTTGGAACCAATCTATATTAAAATCAAACATTGAATTGAAGTGGCCCAAAATGGTGCAGACTATTCATCAAGTTGAACTGGACCTGGTCCATCTGTAATGGACTCATATTGGCGGTCCAATTGACACCCCTAAATAATATTACATGCACAACCTGCCAGAGTATATAGGAGCCTTGTTAAGTACTTTTGGTTCATCCTTTATTTGGCCCAACTCTTTAAACTGTTTGAGCTGAACGTATTTACTGTTGCCATTAGATGAAGATCAAATGTTAACCAGCGCAGACACTTTGCTGAATGCTGATCACTATATTTGGGAGAAAAAACATTATATAAAAAAGAAATGGGGGAAGACCTCCCACAGTCCCACTATCAGTATCATAGGCCAGTACAATATCACTAGATTAACGACTTTTGATGCAAGCCATATGCATCACTATTATGTATAACATCTATATGTTATGTTGCATTTCGCTTGAGATGACTTTGTATATTCCATCCATATTCAGCACCCAACTGCACGGCACAGTAAATGTATATATAAGTAAATTGACTAGTCTATTCTATCTTCTCCGAATCATGATCTAGTATGAACAATAATATTATTGGTTTATCATATTCGCTGTGTAGAAACTGGAATCCCATCTTAATTAATTTATAGTCTCAACAGATAGAATAGTCATGACGACGATGACGGCAACAAAGTCGAAGAAGTAAGTGGCTCGTGGATGACTGAGTTGGAGGAAACTGATATGGGATTGCCCTCTAATTGCAACATAATGCATCCCAGGATTTCCGTCACAATCTTCTTAAACTCTTCTTCTGGAACAGCTTTCCCGTCATCCGCTTTCACCATGGTGAACACCTCATTCACAACTCTATCCACCTGTAGAGTGTAGAGTTCAAAAATCCAGATTATATATTCTGAAGATTCGAGTGCATATTTAAAAGCCTATGCAGTGCAAGATTGACAACAGGTAAATTAAAAGCTAGTTAGATAGTAGCTAGGGTGTCAATTGGACTGGATTTGGTCCAATCCGGTCCGATCCAATGTGAGTCCATTATAAATAGACCAGGTCCAATTCAATCCAATGAATGTTTTGGATCAATTTGGACCAATCCAATTCAATGTCTGAACGTTCAAATTCATTTTGATTTAGATTGGCTTCAATCCAAACCCGTTCCATTGACACATATATTCTTATCTTATATCAATGGACCAGATATTGGCTTAATCCAACCCAATCCAATATAAATTTGTTGCGGATGGACCAGGTCCAATCCAATATAATAAATATTTTGGACCGAATTAGTCCAATCCAACATGCCTGATTGGTCCATCCAAATTGATTTTGGACTGGACAGGGTCCAATCCAAAACCAGTCCATTCACACCCTTACTAGTAGCTATAATAACCAAGCTTAGGCTGTATTTGGTTGCAGTACACTTTCATTTGTATTAGTGCAAATGAAAGAATACAAATTTTGGCTTAATTTTATTTTGGATTTTACCTAATTCCTTATTTTACTTCATTGCAATCAAATAAAATATGATAAATTTTGAAATAAAAATAAATCATAATTTACATCAAAATCATTTACACTACCATGATTTTGTATCAGTGTAAATAAATTTGCATTACAACCAAGCACAGCCTTGATGTTGAAAACAAAGTCATGATGAGAGTGCAAAGGAAAGCCCCCCATCTTATTTGAACTTAAGATCAAATTCATTCTTTAACCATAACTTCTGGTGCAGGCTGCAAGCCTGCAAGGACAAGTTCACTCGAAGTACTTGAGGTGAGTGGAATATGTGTCCATTGCAGCTAAGACTGTCAATGGACTGGATGTTGATCTAATTTAATCAGTCCAATATGTGTCCATTGCATATAGACTAGGTCCAATCCAATCCGTTAAATATTTTGGACTGTGTTGGTCTAACTCAATGTCTTATTGGACCATCCCAACCTGTTCAAATTGATTTTATAATTCAGATTGCATCTAATTCAAATTTGGTCCATTGACACCCCTACTCTTTATCTTTTGTCAATGGACCGGATATTATTAGTTCAACCTGACCCAATTCAACATAAATCCATTACAAATGAATCAGGTCCAATCCGTTGCCTGTCCAACCCAAACCCGATCCAATGACACCCCTATTAGAAGCAGAATTAACATGAGACTTAAATCAGGAATATGGATAAGATAAATCTACTTGAAAAAATTGGGGTTTTGATCACCAAATTAATGTTGATGCATGTTAGAACTTAAAAGGTATAAACATGCAGATTTCTATATGAATGACAGACGAGATTACCTGATCAACTGAGCCGTAAGGAGGCAATCCAGCTACTGGGGCTAACACATCCAGCACGACGCGTAGGTACTCCTTCGAAATCCTATGGTCGCGATCTTTTTTAATACATTTTAAAGCTTCATCCAACGACTGGAAATCAACAAAGGAGTATAAGCTACTGCGGCCCACCTTTTGAATTTGTTTTTAGCTTTTCTCCCTCTTATTATTCAAGTTTGCTGATGGGACTTGGGAATCATGGGGCTAGGTGCAGATCCGAAAAGATCCAACCGGATTCAAATTTGATCCAACATAAGCATCACCATTTGCGTTTTTTAAAGCCCCGAATCACAAAGCTTTGGGGGTTTTTGGGCTTAATAGTGTTTTGATTTGGATTTTTGTTTTTAAAAGAAACATTTGTTTAAACGCTTAAAACACTTAGACTGTGTTTGGTTGTAGTGCAAATTTATTTGCATTAATACAAATACATGAGTGCAAACGTAAACAACATAAATTCTTGTTTAATTTTAATTTGGATTTTACTTTATCCTGATGTCTTAATTTATTTCATTTGTACTGTAACCAAACATAGCTAAAATTTGAAAAAAAAAACAAGTCAGAATTTACACTCAAATCATTTGCACTACTATGATTTTGCATCAGGACAATTGTAACCAAACACAACCTTAGTAACATTTTTATTTACCACAGCCCAAAGCTGAGAAGCAGAAGTTTAATCTGAATGGTGACCGGTGAGATATGCATTATTAGATGAAGTTAGAAGAAGGGGATTGGAACGTATTTTGTTGGCAAAAAAGATCTCAACTCACCATATGCTTGTAAGCTTGTTGTTAATGAAATCAAACTCAAATCGAGCCTCGTTAATGATAACATTCCTGTAGTGGGTGGGTAGACCGTACTTGGGAGGTCACTCGCACAGTACCTTTTCTCTCTCCTACAGACTAAAGTCTACAACTACAAGTAGACTGGCAGTTGGGTTGGGTAAGTCGGGTTCGGGTTGGGTTAAGATACTTCGGGTTGATTTTAGATCGGGTTGAATTTCAGGATGGGTTGTCAAATACTAGATCCTAACCCTAAATGTTCGGATTAGGGTTGATCTATGTGTCAATTTGGGTCATCCCAAAAAATAACTGAAATTTAAAAAACATAAAGAAAAAATATATGAAAAATACCAAAATTAAAGAAATTTTAAATATAAAATAAAAAATTGAACATTTAACTATTCAAAGGATAAATAATAAAAAGTAAAAACTAAATAGAAAAAATTAAAGAGTGAAAACTTCTAGCAACTGGGTCAGCGGGTTAGCTCCCAACGAATCGCCCACCTTGTTTTGCATCCTCATTTCAGCTGCTTCAATTATGGTTCTTGGATTCATAGACTCGAGATGATTACAAAGATGGGTTATTTTTTCTGAAATTCGGATGTTGTTTATGGGAGCAAGTATCCGAGATATTCTGATGGGTTCTCCCCAATTGTTGGGTTTCAGATGATGGGTCGAGTTCATTTTTGTCATTGGTTTTGGATAGCGAGAAGGGAGAACTTGTGAACGCTCCAACGAGGTTGGGGCCGAAGGCTATGTCAAAATCCAAACTCGTCGCTGCTTTGAAGAGCCACAACGAGGTTGAGAGAAGGCAAACGGAGAGGATAAATGAGATGAGAAGGACGATCGTCGGCGTCGGCGTCGGGGATGGAGGAGGAGGTGCAGGGTTCAGGTAGGGTTACACGTTGGTCAGGTCAAGAGATGAGAGTGAAGGGGGGAAAACAATTTCGTTTTGGTACAAACGCACGAATTCAAAGGGGGATGCGTGTGGAAGGACACACGGTGAGGCCCTATTGTGTGAGACGTATTTGGAGAGCCAGCCTGTGGGGTGCAGATTCGATTTCGGTTTGGATCTTCCACCCACTACTTGTTCCCACATTCTTACCCACTAGTAATTACAGCTGTGCATTGGAAATATCTCACTTGTCATTCATGAGAGATGTTCTCAATACAAGGCAGTGGTTAGAAGTGTAAATCAGGCCATGCCGCCTGCGACCAACACGATTTTTAACCGACTAGGCCCGATCCAACGCAATGGTTTACGGGCCATCTCAGGCTTGAGGTTTCAAGTCTACAGGCCGGGCCAACACAGCACGACCGAGCGGATCGTGCCTACAGCCCATGGCCCAGCCCAACATGGCTCATATATATATTTATGGGAAAATTCCACTTTAGTACCTTGAACTTTGTGGGTAGTGTTAAGTTAGTACCCAAACTTTCAAACGTGTCACTATAGTACCTAAACTTTCAAAAAGTGTCAAGTTGGTCCCTGCCGTTAATCGACCGTTAGTTATTTATTGAAAATGTCAAAACTACCCTTCAAAAGAAGACATTGTTCATTGTCTTCCACCTTGAGATTGAACCGATTGAGGTGTTTGAGATTCTAGACTAATGAAGTCATTGTCTTTTACCTTAGATCTGAAACACATTCTTGTCTAGTTATTTCTTTGCTTTCATTTATTGTTTCCCTCTATCATATGTTATATTTTTTCTCTCTTTTTCTTTGAAGAAAACCGGTTCAGTCTCAAGGTAAAAGACAATGACCAGTGTCTTATTTTGAAGGGTAGTTTTGACATTTTCAATAGATAATTGACAATCAGTTAACGGTAGAGACCAACTTGACACTTTTTGAAAGTTCGGGTACAAACTTGACACTACCTCCAAAGTTTAGGGTACTAAAGTGGAATTCTCTCTCTCTCTCTCTATATATATAAATTATAATTATATAATAATATATAGTATATAATATATTAATAAAATAAACAATTATTTTTAATTTTATTTAATTATTGTATATATAAACAATTGTATACATCAAAATTCATATAAAATAAAAATTTTAAGATTTTTTTCAATATTTTTAAATAAATAACTTTAGTCTGGTCCACAGCTTGGCCTGCGGACCAGCCCAGATCATAGGACAACACGGGCCAGCACAGGCTTGACCATGGGCCATGTTGGGCCAACCCCCAAAATATCCCAAGGGAAGAAGGCACGACTCGAGACGGTCTACAGGCCGCACGCAGGCCATGCCGTGCCACGACCCGTTTTATAACTCTAGTAGTGGTATTCTGTGGATATAGATGTGAAGAACAATTTATGGATAGCAGATAGAGAGTGCAGCTGGGCTACAATTCTCTTGTTTATTGCTGTTTGACCTAATTTAATATAATTTTCTTGTTTCATATTTAATTCAAAGGATTTTTTTTTTATCAAGAAATCGTTCCAAATAAGGGTAGATTTGAGCTGAACTGGGTCGAATATTTGGTTGTTCGCCAAAATTTGTTCAGCTCGAGCTCGAATAGAGCTAAAAACCTGAGTTCAAATTTGACTTGCTCTGTTCGAGCATTACAAGCCAAGCTTCTTACAAAAACATAAAAATTTTATACATATAAAAAATATTTATTATGATACACATGTGTGTGTTGGGTTTGAGTTCAGTTAGGCCGCTGAAGGCCCATTTGGAGCTAAATTTGGACTTACATTTTCTCTCAAGAGCACAACCGAGCCCTTGGTTTTCAGCCAACACAAGGTAAATTTTGGAATCAGCCAGCCCAATTTAGGAGTGGAGTCTTTTATTTTTTTCAAATGTATGTAATTGGATAAAGGGATGTTTTGGTGTAATGTGATATAGAATTTTCTCAATTACTGAAACTTTATTGCTTCTTTGCTTTTCTGAATGCTTAACTGTATAACAAATCCAATGCGAATGTATATTTTAACTGATATTTTGCCCTAAATCCTTAACAGCACTCAATGTTTAATGTTTTTTTTTTCTTCATAAAAAAATAAAAGAATGCCCAAATCGTATGAGCCATCGGATCAGCATCTGGTTAGGGTTCAAGTTGCACAACCCCGAGGGGTGTATTGGTACTTGAACCTAGCGCCTTTTTTTAGTTTTTTTTTCAAGATTTCAGAGAACAAATACTTTTTTCAAAATAAACCTTAAAATAAGTGTATTAGTGGCTGATATGAGCCAATATCTTTATCCCAGTGGAGCCAGTGTGGATTTGACAATGCCTGTAATCCAGAAATCCAACCTAAGCCTCTTGTGGAAGAACAATTCCACATAGGTTCAGGAATCAGGATTAACTCCAAGCCTGCCTTTGGATTGCAAGAGCGGATTGGATTGGAGTTTTAATTCTGTGGCTGGAAAGAATTTGAATTCCACCCGTCCAATCCACCTCCAGTTTCAAACCCACCACAGTCCAATGCAACCTAACCTTTTCCAAATCAAAGAAGAGAATGTAGTATGCATTACTAACCTTGTCCAATTCAAATTTGTTGGACTGTAGTCTCTTGATACTGCTTCCATCAAAGGTATTTTCAGTATGGGCAACAATAACGGGCTGTTCTTTGAGATGTTGGGCCACCCTCTGCACCACTTTCTTGAATTCTTGCAATAATGTCTCTTGTGAGAGAGGATTCTCATGGTCATTGATAGCACAGGGTTGCAAAGCAGGTTCTACTATGTTGCTCAAAACCTACAAGACAACAAAGAGTGTGAGAAACATGTGCAGTCCATCTCTATGTTTGAGATCGAGAATTAGAGGTTTTAAGCCCAAACTTATACCATAGCAGTTGTTCGAGAAAACTAGGTCATAGGTCTTCTTGATCAGCCATTTTTCCTCTTGATATCAGCAAGACTTTTTAAGAATTAGGGAAGGAGTAGGTTGAGAAATCAACACAAAATGATTTGATTTGGGTCAACCAGAACTCAAAAAATTGGGTCAAGTTTTGTTTCTCTAGTTCGAAAAGTTTCAATAATTAACAAGACAAATTCATGAAGTCAATGGGGTGGGAGTTTGTATGACAATTACCCAAGAATCTGAAGAAGGCGGCATCCCATGATCTACTGTTAACTGTTCTAATGCCCTAGTAATGTAGTTGCGGAGAGAACGGTCGGTTGGTTGTATTTGTGAGAATATAGATACCATCTCTGGTTCAAAGCTTGGACTGTTGATGAACTCAATGAGATCTTCACCGTCAATCCGGAGGATCACAATTGGGTCCCGCTTCAACCCAGTCGCCATGCCTATTAGGATGTCTAAGAGCACCTCTTTGAACCCTGTCTTGCTCACTTGTTGTGTTCCATGGGTGAATTCATTCAAAACCTATCAAACCAAAATGAAGGAACCAATCAATGAGATGGAAGGTACCCAGAATACATCAATATCCAACTTTGCTATTTAGCAAGAAAAAGCAAAACCTTAAACCTATCGGACTAACAATATTGATGCGGCTGACACCACTACAAGTGTTCGTGGATTGGGCTTCAGGCTCGGCCCATGAATATTATACACTGCTTTGGGCCCAATCAAATTTTGGCAAAAGCTCAGCCTGAGACTTCAAGATTTCAAGTTTTCAACTGCATAATTTTTTTTTGGATTTTGAGAGGGAGAAAGTTGGTCAATAGGATTTTGGCTCCCATTGACCAAGAATCCCATATTCTTTTTTCAGCTTTAAGTGGGGATTAGGGAAAATTTTGATACCCAAGAAAGTGATACCCATCTCTTAGATGGGTAAATAACTTTCCTACATAGGGGTAAGTTGTCAACACTTGAATGGGACAAAAATACCCCTTTTAATAATAGATTTCTATAGATAAAATGATCATTGCCTTATTTACCTGGAAAATAAAAGAACATGAATAAATGCTCTTGCCCGGGTAAATGTTTCCTAGAAAAAACTTACCCTATAATTGCATTTACCTGGGTAAATAACTTACTAAAAAGCGAACGGGACCTGAAGTGCAGGCATAGAACTAACATGGAGCATGTCACCGTATAAATTACCATGAATGACAAACGGCACCATGTAAATTAGAATATAGCGTCTCCTGGACAGTCTAAACTGCCTGCAGTTGCCAATGAACATTCAACAACCTGTAATTTCTTTACAATTATCTATCTTTGATTCTTTGTTTTAATTTAATTATCTCTTTAACAGTGTAAAACCAGAAACATTTAAAATGAGAAATATACTGAGGTAACTTAGCTGTGCAAAATATTTTGGGAGTGCTTAAGCTTTAGTTGCTTTATCTGAGCTCACCAAAAAGTTTCACGAAAGTGAATAATGGTAAGTTTGGGCTCCAGATTTTCTTTACCCAACATTGTTCATCTAACAAAGCCAAAAGCAGAATCAGGAGAAGTACCGCGTTTGGTCTAATCCGATTTGATCCAACATCCAACATGAGTCCATTTACCATTTTACAAATAGACCGGAACCCGATTGAATTCTTTTAATATCAAGTGGCAACGAAATTTTTTTTTTTTCTTTTGCAACGATTTATATGCAACTTATATGAATTGAATCGCAAGTATAGTTAGTCTAATATAATAATTGTAATTTGGAAATAAGAACCAATTACAACATTATAATTTGTTACTAAATTAATAATAAAAAATCAAATATTGAAATTAAGGGTGGATTCCTGTATCTAATAAATTCCTATAATAATTTAAATAAATAATAATTATTATTATTTAATAATCCTTGGCCCCGCGAGAGATATTTTCCCACACCATTGGCACCAATATCTCGCCAGGCTAGAAGAACTGATTCTCTTATCTGTGAGTTATCTCTACAAGACAATAAAATAAAATAAAATAAAGAGATGTTTTAATTGTAACAGGCCGCGATTGAAACTTTGAAACTACAGGAGCCAGGAGCCTCAATCAAGATGCCAAACCAAAGCGTCCTTAGCATCCATAGAACAAAAGACTTTATTATTTATTTTCAATTTTATAGAAAATAGAAACAGAATATTTGATCATCTACATAGATGAAGCAACAAACTGAACAATTGAAAAATAAAAGCTGGTGTTGATAATCAGAAGAAGAAAAGTGGAAGAAGATGACATACCTCGGAGTAGATGTGATCAGAATCAGGAGAAGTACCCTGAGCAGGGAGGCCGAGAGCGGCACCAATGTCAGCGACAGCGGGCTGGAGCTCCTTTAGGGAGAGCTTACCGTCTTTATCACGATCTAGTTCTTGGAACTTATGATCCACGAAATTTGTAAAGACATCCTTGTTCTCAACTAATTCCATAATGTCCGAACCGTCCAACACCTCACCCTTATCTTTACCTGCTCCGCTTTTCGTCTGGGCGCTGCAGCCACTAGTCGCCATTGTTATTTGATTGGTTGTTCTCGCTTGTTTGCTTCTCTTAAATCTTTAATTTCTCCTTTTTCACTGATTAAAGTATATGAGTATAGTGTAGAGAGGACGAACCTATTAATTGCGCCCGCTGCCCTTTTATCTTTTCTTGGGAAAAGAGGATTGCTTGCCGTCGATCGTCCGAGTGAAGATTAGAGATTAGAAAATGCAAGCAAGGTGAAGAGGGACTCTCGTGATCTGAGTGAAACAGATAAATAAAGAGATTGTCTGCATCTGAGAAGGATAGCTTTACTTTTATATATATATAGAGAGAGAGAGAGAGGGCATGGAGTTGATCTTTCTTCTTCCTTCTCTGTTCCTGCTTTATGGTTTTGATGTTCTAGTCTTCTCTTTAGGCAAGGATGGAGAGCAGAGGAAGAAAAGGTATTGGACAGCAGTCAGTTCCTGGTTGAGACACGTGGAACGCTTGCGTTTCGTCACAGCACATCAATACATCATAAGTCACCTTCGCGGCAACGTTACATCCGCCTCGTCAATGTTTAGGTTGTGTAATGTGTTCTCCTTTCGGTTGGACTTTCCCTTCTTTTTATTAAGATCAAAGATAAGATAAGGGTAGCGCTTGAAATAAACCCGTTGGATTGGAATCTTTTATTTCAAATATTGATTAATGAATTAGCCTGCCGAATTTCAACTTTCAAACAGATTTTATGTTGAAAGAGGTTTAGCTGAAATTTTTCTCCACCGACCAAATCATATTCCTCACCTCACCCACAGCCACTCTCCTTCCTCTAAATTTCGGGAAAGCTTTCGTTGTACGGACTAACAGCACACGGTAATAGAGGTGTAAATCGGCTACATGTTGGCCGTGTTAGGCCCGGCAGTGATGGTTTGTGTCGAATTGGGCCTGGATCCAAAGTCTACAAGTCAGCACGATATGAAGTACGGCCCATCACGGGCCAGTAAATACGGCCCATCGGTCTCTAATGGGTCGCACTTAGCCCGTCTGAAAATTAGTCGTTGGACCCCCACCTTACAATGGCTACTTTTAGTCTTTTGGGGGGCTTTTACATAAATACCCCCTAACCACTATAAACATGTATATAGGGGAGAGTATTTATGTATTTTGGTTATGGAGGAGAAAAATGACACAAATGCCTCCCAATAGGTATATAGCAACTAGTTTAAGGGGGTATTTTGGGTAAAGTTATAAATAACTTTACAATGATCAAAATACCCCTCCTAACAACTAAAAAACAGTTAGCCTTTAGGGTATTTGGGGCAATTGAATAATTTTCAATTCCTATAAATAACCCTATCCTCCACCATTCTCATTACACCAATTCAACAATTCTCTCTCTCTCTCTCTCTCTCTCTCTCTCTCTCTCTTGTACATTCTCTGCAACCTGAGTGAACTCTAATTGACTGATTGTCTAATTCCCCAATTCTCAACTTTATTGAAGTTTCAATAAGAAGAAGGCTACTCAATCAACTCAATTATCAAGTTAGCAATTTGGGAGGCTTGGACTCTTGGAGTTGAAAGGCTTTAACTATTGAAATCAAGTTGAGATTCTGAACTGGCTATCCGGGTAAGTTCAATTTGGTCGACGATATTCAATCGCATTATGATAGTTTTAGCACCGACATGGATGCTATTGCTATTGATGGAACTTTCACCCCTAGTACTCATACTAGGGAAAAGAAAAAGAGGGCATCTAAGTTGAGTAGCCCTGCTTGGAAAATATTTAAAGTAAAGGATGTTGAGGGGAAAGGAAAAAGAGCAATTTTCCAAAAATGTAGGAAAGACTTTACCTACTGTAGCAAGGGTGGTATTGGCCATTTGAGCAGATATTTGCTCACACATGAAAAAGAAGGAGAAGAAGAAAGGAGAGAAGCAACGCAAACACAAATTGGGAGGGGGGTTTTGGTACATTTAAATATTCTCAAGAAAAAATGAGACAAGAATTAGCAAAATACATTGTATATGTAGAACAACCATTTTTGTTAGCTAAAGGTACTAAAATTGAAAAATGGTTACGTAATTCTGTAAATCCACAATACAAAAAAATTTCTAGGAATGCTATTAAATCAAATGCTTTAAAAAATTTTTATTCATATAAACAAAATTTAATTTATTTGTTATCAAATCTTAATTCTAAAGTTGCAACTACTTTTGATGTTTGGACTTCTAAATTTAACATAAGCTATATTTGTGTTACCGGTCATTTTATTGATGAAAATTGGCTTTTAAATAAAAGAATTTTAAGTTTTACTAGGCTTGAATGGCCACATACTGGCATAACTATTACTGCAAGCATTTTAAATACTTTACATGCTTATGGAATTGAGAATAAATTATTTTCTATTAGTTTTGATAATGCAAATAATAATGATTCTACAATAAATATTTTAAAATTTCAATTAAAACCATGTTTAAATGATAAATTATTTCATATCAGATGTGCATGTCATGTCTTAAATTTATGTATTCAGGATGCTTTAAATATTATTTCTACTCATATTTCTAAAATTAGAAATTATATCATATTTATTAAAAGTTCTAGAGCAAGAAAGCAAGAATTTAAATATTTATGTCAAAATTATGGTTTAAAATATAAACATTTTATATTAGATGTTAAACATAGATGGAATTCTACCTATGCTATGTTAGAAAGTTGTATTTCTCATAAACAAATTCTTATTGATTTTTATAATGCAAAAATGCCTAATGATATTATATTTGAGAAAGACTGGTAAATGACAGTTTGTATAAGAGATTTTTTAAAACATTTTTATGATGCAACTAATGAATTATTCAGTATTTATTATCCAACTAGTTGTAATTCACCTTATCAATTAATGGTGAATAGTGATTGTTTTGTGAAATATAGAAATAATCCACAATTTAAAAGTATTGTTGAAATAATGGAAAATAAATTTGAAAAAATATTGGGAGAACATTTATCCTCTTTATTGTTTAGCTACAATATTAGATCCTAGGATTACGAAAGATGATTTAGATATTTTACTTGAAACATATTGTGAAAATATGAATATTGAAATTGGAAATAAAAAAAGAAGAAATTAATAATTTATTATTTAAAATGTATAGTTTATATGAATCTGAAGTAATAAGAAATAATTCTACAACCAGTACAATATCTTCTACTTTTGAACTTGAGTCCAATCGTATAAGAGAAAAACATGTTTATTTAATAAGTAGAAGGTAAAAATCTACTACCTCAACAACAAGTTCATTTGCTGAACTTAATTTTTATTTACAAGCAAAATTTTCTACTTTAAGTGAGGAAACAAATAATTTTGATATTTTATCCTGGTGGAATGAACATTCAAAAAATTATCCAATTCTCGCCGCCATGGCACGTGATCTACTAACCCCTTTGGTGTCTACATTTCCATTGGAGTCTTGTTTTAGTGCAGGTAGTAGGGTGTTAGACGACAAGAGAAGCTGCATGAACGATGAAAGTATAGAGATGTGCATCTGCTTTAAAGATTGGTTGGATGTTGAATATAGATTACAAGACAAAGAAGGGTATGACACCACCCGATATTTCACCTGAAGCAGATGATGAAATTCATTAACAATAGTTGACTAGTTGTATAGAATTTTTTATTTTTTTTCAAATTATTGTAAATTTTGTTTTAATTTTATTTAATTTATTTGCTATTTTTTTAACAATGTAATATTGTATTTTTTATATTTTATTAATTTATTCCATTTTCATATTTCATTCATCCAAGTATCCAACCATTGTATGCTTTGTAATTTGTATCATTCAAATTTAAATGAATTAAAATTTCTATTTTTCTTCCAATTTGTTATTTTATCATTCTTATTTGGTTAAGTATTTTTTTTTCATTTGTGTGTTAGATTTCTTATTTCTTAATTTTTCAAATAGTTCCCAAAACTGAAAGGAAAGTTAAATATTTTAGTTTTACACTTTTACTTAGAAAAGAAATCAAAATAAAAAAAAAACAAAAAAGGACAAAAAACCAATCTAACCCGACTCGGCCCACGCCCAAGGCCTGCCTTGTGGCCCAACCTAGCACAACCCAAACCCACGGTACGACACGACCCACATGGACTTGAACTATGGGCCTTGTTGGGCCAACCCCCCAACTTATCATTGGGGAGGGCGGCACGACCCGTAACAACCCGCGGGCCAGCACGGCACAGCCCGTACAAACGGGCCACTTTACACCTCAATAGGAATGACGCTATTAACTATTAATCATGACACATCCAGATGAGATTACCTGCCAACAGAACATGTTCTAACACCCGACCTACTCTTTTCATTTGACCCTACCACATTTTATTGTAATACAGGAGCCCATATAAAAGTGAGACCCGTCATAAACGAGGTTCACAATGTGTGGGATGATGTTGATAGGGTGTTTAAACATATTTTGATGGCAGGTGATTCACGTCAATTCATTTGATCTCTTATTTATCTTTTTTATTGCATTTATTTGTTGTGTAAATACAAAACTATATCGGTGGTGTTTAATACAGTTAAATGTTTGAGTGTAAAAAGCGAACCAATATTATACTCATTTTACACTCTTATGTGTTTGGAGAGTTTTTATATGTCTCCACTCCTAGGTTAGAAAAACTGTGTTGGAACTTAGAAATCTGAAAGCATTTCCTCTGCTCCTAGGTTAGAAAAAAGAGGGAAAACTTGGTTTCAAAATAATTTGAATGTCGGCGTTGAATTTTTGACCGACAAACCTAATTCCAACACAGTTTCAAAAAATGCTTTCCATGTATAAATTTATCAAAAACTGTCTTGACATTTGTTGGGTCCCGTTTCCCTACACTTGATTCGACTTTTGATAGTTGCCATGTTTCTCTGCATATGTTTATTAGGAAAAAGAAAACTCAGAAACATACATCTTTACAAAGTTAAGCTCTCGCAAAGCTTATAGATCTTTTGCAAATAATACATCAGATGTTGGTTTCTTTGGTAAAGAAATCAAAGCCACATGGAATGATCTTTGTGATAATTCTTTTGTTCAGCTTCATTTATCGTCTAATTTTCGAATGGTTTTCAAAACCGGACCAGATCAAATGATTGGACCGGAAAATTGGGAATTGGTGATTGGTTCCGTTTTTTTTTTTTAAACTGGATTTTTGCCAAAAAAATATTGATTTGGTCAGTAAATCGTTGTCCCAGATGGTTGAACCATTTTAATCGTCCAACGATTTTTATCATTTTTTTGTTATAACGGGCCAATTGTTTGGTTTGAAGTTTGAACGGTTGGACCGTTCGACCCGGGAACTGGATCCCTGATTG